ATAGGATTTGTCAGGAATGAGGGCAGTTAATTTAATAGCCCAACTGTTTCTGGTACCTTTATTAAGCAAAAATAATCAGAGCCATTGTCTTTTATACTCGGTGAATGGCACATTAACAGATTTGACTCGGCAGTCAGCAAGAAATGTGAACACTTTAAGATAGGGACTAAATGTATCATTTTACTTGCTGCTGAATATATTGAGTTCCAGATAGTTAATTCGAGTAGCAAGAAGGATCTAGGGCTGGGATGGGGATGAGGGGCAAATGAAGCGCTAGGAAGACTGGTGGGTAAATATTGTCCAAAACATTCATCTATTGCAGTAAAGGAAAGAAAAGCAAACAAACCACTGGCATACGCAGAGTCTGCCACCTTTACTCACAATAAGTAGTATCTTACTCCATGAATTGTCTCGTTGGCTGCAATGGGACTACTCCCAGAATAAACTACTACTCAATTTACCTGTGGCAGAATCTGACAGGATCACAGTGGTAGTTACATGCAAAAGATGTATTAAATCATTCAGGCCACATCCCATAAAGTGCAGGATTTAACCCCCTTGGGTTAAATATATCAGACCTTAAACTGATACTATGCTGATCTTAGAACAATTTGGTTTGGAAGGAACCTCTAGTGGGTAATTTAGCCCATCTCTGTGCATCATAGAAGAATAATGAAATTATTCATAAAAAATCCCTGGCAGAAGGGTGTCTAATCTAACTATTGACATGTCTGTCACCCGTCGTGTATGTTTCTTTGATTGCTTAACTGTCCTTTATAAAAATTTTGCTAACAGTTCACCTAGTTTTTTCCCTGCTGCAGCTGTAAGCCTGTTCCTACTTGTTCTGTCCTTGTTGACTTGTGGGAATAATTGATCCCTGTCAGAGAAAATTATCCTAGCATTGTATAAGGGACTAAGTGAGGCCACATTTGGAATATCGTTCACAGTCCCGGTCACCTTATTACAAAAATGATATAATGCAAATAGAGAGGACAGCCCAAATGATACAGGAACTTAATTATTCAGGAAGGGTTAGAAAAGCTACTGTGTAACTGCAGTCTTTGGAAAACAGGAGATTAAAGGGACATCTTAGCGAGGTATACAAAACTCTGAAGGGAATACAGAGGATTCATATATACAAGGGGATCTGAGCTAGTGACAAATACCAAAACAAAAGAGAAATTAACTGAAGCTTAGGAAGGGCTGATCAGCAAAGCAATTTAAGCAGAATTTATTTAGTTAATATTTGGATAAAACTACTTGAACAGCAATGGGAGCAACTATCGGAAACAGATTTCACCAGGCTTTAGACAAGTATGTGGAGTTAAAATAATATTGTGGGATACAACTATCAACTCAAAGGAGGAGAAAGGAACCTAGATGAAGGTTGTGATCTCCTTTATTAAAATGTTTTGCTGCACATTCCTTACTGGTTCCTGTAATTTTGTGGCCCTCTTTAATTATCTGTACAATTTTTCTACTGTTAAACCTATATCCCTGGCAGCTTTACATACTGAGATGTGGAGAGATAAGGGGATACTCTGAGGGCAAGGGCCCCGATACTGATCTCAGATATAGCACTGTAAATCCAGAGTAACTCCAGGGAAGACACTAGGTTTATTCAGGATTCCTACTGGTGTAATTGGGATAAGAATCTGGGCCATAAGCATATGCATTCCAGTTTGAAAGGTCTTAATTCCCCCCTCTTTAAATTGCAATAAAACCTCCTAGAAGGACTCTGAGTCCTTTTGGGGGCAATTGTAATAAGTGTACATGCCATCATTTGCACATGATGCCTAAGGGCTATTGACTTCAATGAGCTTTGGATCAGGCCCTAAATGACTCGCTTCCTTTGACCTACAAGTTTTACTATTCTTTCAAAACAAAAGAGTCTGCCCTTAACTGTGCTGAAACCAAAGCAAATTGATTTTTTTCAGCACCAAGAAATTGGGACATGCTGAAATCTAGCCCTTAGGAAATCTATGTAACAATAAAACAACCCCCTTACTTTCTCTTCCAGCTGCGGGATGGGTGCCCAACAGACTCACATTAGATGCGTGGATAACTTATGGCCCAGAGGCAAGAACCCCATAGACTTTTAATGATGCAAGAGCTCCCATGACAACACTGTCATTCAGTCAGAAAAGCAAAAGGAAATAATGGCAATTTGTAGAAAGGGGGATGACCCAGGTGATAGGCATTGGGCCAGTTTAGGCATCTTCTCTGATGCCTTTCTGCACTGAAATCATAATGGGAAATTATTACCGTATTTACCATAAAATCGTCTTTGTGTCATTTGTTTCTTCACTGGGCACTTCTGTCACCTCTTAGACCCTTAAGGAAATTGATATGGGGGTAGCTACATCAGTACAGTTACACTGGGGCAAACCCTAAATGCAAATGTATTGTTGCTGAATTAAGCTCAGTGAACTCCACATTGCATTGACCCAGTGGTTCTCAACCAGATGTATGCGTACCCCTGGGGATACACAGTGGTCTTCCAGGGGGCACATCAACTCATCTGGATATTTGCTGAGTTTTACAACAGGCTACATAAAAAGCACTAGCAAAGTCAGTACAAACTAAAATTTCCTACAATGACTTGTTTATACTGCGCTTTATACTATACACGGAAACGTAAGTACAATATTTATATTCCAATTGATTTATTTTATAATTATATGGTAAAAATGAGAAAGTAAGCGATTGTTTTGTAACAATGTGCTGTGACAGTTTTATATTTTTATGTCTGATTTTGTAAGCAAGTCATTTTTAAGTGAGGTGAGACTTGGGGGTACGCAAGAGAAATCAGACTGCTGAAAGGGGTAAAGTAGTCTGGAAAGGTTGAGAGCCACTGCCCCTGTACAGTGCCTCCAACAGCTGTTCACTCCAATGTAATTACTATCGTGAATTTCCTTTAAAGTGAACAGGTCTTTAGTCTCATCTTTTGGACGGGAAGATTGTCTTGGTGGATCCATGAATATTGTCTTTTTTATAGCAACTCTTTATAAAACCAAGTGGTTTGTTTTTCAAGTTTGACAAATGACTTAATATCTTTTGTTCTGTGAATATAATTATGTGTTTAATTGGAATTTTTAAAAAATGGAAATATATTTGAAAATTTCGATAATTCAAATTATGGGCAAGATCCTCATCTGATGTAAATTGACATACCTCGGTTGAAGTCAGTGCTGATTGACATTAGTTGGGGTTCTGGTCCTTCATCTTTGAAAGGAAATATATAAATAATGTTACACCTGATTCTGATCCCCCATCATTGTAAATCCATTGACTGGAGTTACTCCTGATTTACACCAGTGTAAATAAGGACAGAATCAAGGCTAGTGTTTGAGGTTTATATTTTTTTTTGTTTTCCTGCTGGGCAAAATCACATATGCATAGTGGGCCTGTTTCTGATCTCACATGTTGTAAAAAAAGAAGTAACTCTGGAAGACAAAATCTGTGTGAGAACAGAACCAGGTGCATAGAAGTTGTGGGGAATGAGAGTAGTTAATGTAATAGCTCAACCGTTTCTAGTAGCTCTATTAAGTAGAAAATAATCAGTACCATTGTCTTTGATATTTTGTGAATGGAAATAGTGTTATATCTCCTATGAATGTCAACAGTTCTGAATCGGCATTCAGCAGGCAGTTTGAACACTTGTCACAGCAAACATCACATTTTATTAGCTGCTGAATATATTGCGTTCCAGATCCTTAATTCTGGTAGTGCGGAGGATCTAGGGCTGTGATGTGGGGGAGAATGGCAAACAAAACACTAGAAAGATCTGGGGAAAACATTTATAGAAAACTCTAAAACCCTGGTCAATAGCCGCAAAGGAAAGAAAAGTAAAGAGATCACTGGGCTGCATAAAGGTATTGAATATAGGATCGTAGTTTTAGTTAATGACGGGAAAGCCCTGTGAAATGATCCAGTTCATATCCAAGCAAACACGGGGTTTAGTCTAAGGGGAGCCTGACTTAACCACTAGAGAGTATAATGGATTTCAGTCTTCAATCTGAACTCAGCAGCCCCACTCGCTGCCTCTCCTCGGCGGGGAGAGAAATCACAGCGTAGCAAACACTGAGCGCAAGTCACCTTGGCCGGGACATTATGGGCTCAGCAAGCAGGTGTGAGCATCACGCAGCGGGCAGGCTTCGCGCGTAAGGTGGCTTCCCGTCCCCGCTCGGAGTCAGCGCGCCGCTGTGGATCGTCGCCCGCTGCTCCTTGGGCAGGGAGGATGGAGTGACCGGCTTGAAACGCCTCTCCCCGTCCCTTCTTGGGGACCGCACCGGAGCGAGTAAAACCCCCCGGTGCAGACCAGCTGGGGGGCTCGTGGCGATGCTGGCTGCCCGCTGACCGGGCCCGGAGGCGGCGGCGGGGGGCCCTTGTTCCCGGCCCGGCTGAGCACTTGGGGGAAAGTTACCCCACCTGTTCGCCTGCGTCCTGGGAGCTGCTCCGCCGCCCCGCTCGCTCGTGAGTTACCGCTGGCGCCTGGCACTGCCGCTGCGGGGCGGGGGGGATCCCCGAGGGCTGAGGCTGCTGGGGGGGGGATCCCCGAGGGCTGAGGCTGCTGGGGGGGGGATCCCCGAGGGCTGAGGCTGCTGGGGGGGCGCTAGTGACCCCCCCTCTGCCTGCCCGGGGGGGGCTCGCTCAGTGCGCACCATGCTGGTGCTCTAGCTGCCAGGCTGGGTGGCCCCGTCCAGCGGGAGAGCCCGGGGCTGGCTGGCAGGTGCCCCGCAGCAGGCTCCGGCCGGGCGATGCCGAGAGGCTGAGGCTGGCCCGGGCGCCCCGCTAGAGGGGGACGGGGCGGGGGAGGCGGGGGCGGCAGCCGCTTTGCCCCAGGCCGGGGGCTGATCCGCTTCTCTGCCCTCCCCGCAGGGAGGCTTCGCCACTGAGTCACCATTACCTCGCCCAGCAAGCAGGAGCTGGTCGCGCTCGCTGCCCGGCTCTGGCAGAGGAGGAAGCGGCTGCTGGCCGCGGCCGGGCTGGCCCTCGCCATGGGACTCGTGCTGCTCGTCGCCGTCCCGCTGCTGCTGCAGGCGGCCCCGGAGAGCGCGGCGCACTACGAGATGATGGGCACCTGCCGCATGATCTGCGACCCCTATAGCAGCGCCAGCGCCAGCGCCAGCGCCCGGGCCGGCGGCCCCAGCAGCACGGCCGCCGTGGAGGCGCTGCAGGACCTGAGCGCCAACCCCCCGCCGCCCTTCCTCCCGGGACCCAAGGGGGAGCCCGGCCGGCCGGGCAAGCCGGGGCCCCGGGGCCCTCCAGGGGAGCCGGGGCCCCCCGGTCCCAGAGGGCCGCCCGGAGAGCGGGGAGACTCGGGCAAGCCGGGGCTGGCGATGGCCGGGGCTGGCGCTCCCGGGGCGGCAGGGGGCGGTGTCGGCCCCGGGGCGGGCGCCGCGGGGGAGGTGAGCGGGGCGCTGAGCGCGGCCTTCAGCGGCCCCCGCATCGCCTTCTACGTGGGGCTGAAGAGCCCCCACGAGGGCTACGAGGTGCTCAAGTTCGACGACGTGGTGACCAACCTGGGCAACCACTACGAGCCGGCCACGGGCAAGTTCAGCTGCCAGGTGCGGGGCATCTACTTCTTCACCTACCACATCCTCATGCGCGGCGGGGACGGCACCAGCATGTGGGCGGATCTCTGCAAGAACGGCCAGGTGGGTCCTGGGGGCTGGCCGGGATCCCCCCTCCACCGACCCGGGCCGGCCCCC